GTGAATCAGCGTGGTTGGGATACCTCAAAGGCCGAAGCTAGCACAGTACAGGCTAATGCTGCTCACACTCATCTGCCACGACAAGGCCTGGGAGCCACGTCCTCGTCAGTCCTACCGGGCTGCAGCATTGGAGATGCGTGAAGAGCAACGCTCAGGCAGTTATGACCCACTGGCTTTCAGCATTTGGCCCACCCCCTGCAGCAGGTGGGCTTCCTTCCTCATTGCAGTTCCCTACTCTCCCAATTCCACAGCTCCCTTCCTCTCTCTCTCCCCACCCTCCCCCCTTCCTCTCTCCCCCTTCCTGATGGAAATCTCCTTCCGCAAGGAAGTGGCGGTTCACTGCCTGCTCGGCCCGTCCCCATTGCTGTCCATCCCCACCTCTCCCCTTCCGCAACCCTTCCCCCCTGCAGTTTCTGATGGACATAACGTTTCTCAAGGAGGTGGCAGCGCGGTACCACTTCACGTCGCGGCAGCTGCAGCAGGTGGCTGATACCAGCATGGAGCGCGCCCGCGAGTCCTTCGACCTCAACCGGTCCGTGCAGATTGTGGGGAAGTGGGAGGCTGGGGCTTGGAATAGATGGGGATGGGGAGAAATGGGTTTTGAGTCGACTTAAATGGCAGCAGGTGGCCGACACAAGCATGGAGCGCGCCCGCGAGTCCTTTCAACTCAATCGGTGAGTGCAGATTGTGGGGGAGTGGTAGACTGGGGATGTAGATGGGGATGGGAATGGGAATGGGAATGGCAGCAGCAGCAGGTGGCGGATAGCAGCATGGAGCGCACCCTCCAGTCCTTTCAACGTAACCGGTAGGCATGGGCACGGTTGATGGGGGAGTTGGACACTGGGAAGTGGGAGATCTGAGATGGATATGGGAATGACTAAGGGAGTTTGGAGATTGTCATACACAGTTATGCCGTGTACACTTGCTGTACCATGCAGATCCATTCAACCATGGGAACGCATATGGGCCATGGAAACTTACTCCACCATGCATTTTCTCTACCATGTGCTCCAGGGATTGCCCGGGGTATGAGAAGTTCAGAGAGCTGGCTCAGCAGGCGATTGAGAGGCATCTAATTGACAAAGGCTATCAATAGCCACACAAGCAAGTTTGATTTGAGCAGTCATGCTGTATGATATGTTCCACTTACTCTATAGATTGACAGTAGGTGGTTGGGAAAAATGCCTCTGCTGCAAGAACAAAACTTCAGTCCATCATTATCCAGCTTAGGTACATTATCAAAAATACCTTCTGTTCGATTATTGCAGCAGGTTAGCACACCTACTGTACAATGCGATGCGCAGCGTATCAGAAAGATGCTGGGCTGGAACCTCAGAGATCTCCACGTTTCCTGCGTGCTTTACGTGGCGCCCGCAAATATCTTCGTCTAACCTTTCGATCGCTTCGCTACAAAGCTGCCGTCAAGCCAACCTGCTCGATGGGGGGGGAGATCGATCCAGTCACCGCACTAAATCCCCGCGTTTCACATACCGAAAGTACACAACCGTTTTAAAACGCGCTAAAACACGATCCTGAGGCGATCGTTTCTTTACTTTTACCGTGTAACCCACCAGTCCACCACACCACACAAGCTTGAAAAACATCCATTCCTTTTCCCCTCAGCTCTGATCCGCGCTTCCCTGTTCTTGAGTGCTCATCCCACTTCCGTCTGCACTGCAGTGCAGCTGTCGCCGCCTGCCGCCTTCAGCCACCTCGTGAATAAACGTTTCCGCGGTGTCGTCTACATCCGTCCGTGATCACGCCCAATTCCGTCTGCTTTTCTTCCGCGCCGCGTTTCGTAGTCGCCTGAGCCGCTTTTCCCTAGGTCGCGTGAAGATTGGAAGTAGGCGTGTCATTCCATGGCGTCGGCTGTTGCCGTAACTACCGCGATCAGCGGCCTCGCGACACCACGTGCCGCTGCGACTGTATCGCGCGATGCAGCTTACGTGCGACCGCATGCGACGGCAGCGCTGTCGCATCCGCTTCGCGCACGCGGCATTCGGGGTCTGCGATCGGACAACTTCAGGGGCAAGTCGACGAGAGCTAGGGCGAGCAGCCAATCAGCTTTCTCCGTTCAATGCAACCTCGTGGTACGACCAACTGCGGGATTTACGGGCACCAACATTCTTAAGTTAAACATGACCAACGACAACAATACTAGACAACAAACAAGGGAGAAACACCACCCGAAACACGAAATCTACCTCAATCTTCCCTCGTTTCCCGTCCCTCATCCCTCTTCCCCCTTTCTCTCCCCAACCCCATCCTTCCCCTCCCCTCCCCCGCCCCTTCCCCCCTCTCCTCTCCCACCTTCCACCGCGGACAGCGCAAGGTGAACGGGAAGGAGCTGGACGAGTTGTTGTCGGGCGATCGGCCGCTGCCAATGGTGATCGACTTCTACGCCACGTGGTGCGGCCCCTGCATCCTGCTCGCACAGGAGCTCGAACAGGTCAGTTTCTACGGCGCCTTATTAATCGTGATGCGCGTCTTAGAGTCGACTCAGTTGTTATCGACTTGTACGCCACGTGGTGCGGCCCCTGCATCCTGCTCACGCAGCAACTCGAGCAGGTCAGTTTCTGTGGCGCTCGAAAAACAGCGGTGCGCCTCTTGTTTTGAGACGTTTTAGAACTCGACTTGTACGCCACGTGGTGCGGCCCGTGCATCCTTCCCGCGCAAGAGCTCGAACAGGTGCGCCTCTTGACTCGCCTCATACCCCCCATGCCCCCATACCCCCCATGCCCCCATACCCCCCATGCCCCCATACCCCCCATGCCCCCATACCCCCCATGCCCCCATACCCCCCATGCCCCCATACCCCCCATGCCCCCATACCCCCCATACCCCCCATGACCCCATACCCCCCATGCCCCCATACCCCCCATGCCCCCATATCCCCCATGCCCCCATACCCCCCATGCCCCCATACCCCCCATGCCCCCATGCCCCCCATGCCCCCCATGCCCCCATACCCCCATGCCCCCATACCCCCCATGCCCCCATACCCCCCATGCCCCCATATCCCCCATGCCCCCATACCCCCCATGCCCCCATACCCCCCATGCCCCCATGCCCCCCATGCCCCCCATGCCCCCCATGCCCCCATACCCCCCATGCCGCCGTACCCCCCATGCCCCCATACCCCCCATGCCCCCATATCCCCCATGCCCCCCATACCACTCGTGCCACCATACCTTTTCACTCATGCCATCATGCTCCTGTATCCCCACACCTCCGTACCCCTATGCTTGTTGCGCACAGCTAGCAGCGGATTATCATGGCCCGGTACTCTCCCCCACACCCCCATGCCCCCATGCCCTCCATGCCCCGCGGCCCCATGCCCCCATGCTCTCCATGCCCCCATGTCCTCCCTGCCCCATGGCCCCATGCTCCCATGCGTGTCGCCCACAGCTAGCAGTGGAGTACCACGGGCAGGTGCTGTTTCTCAAGGTGGACACGGACGAGGAGTACGAGCTCGCCAACCAGCTCGAGGTGCGTGCTGCCGTTTTAGAGTCGACTCAGAAGTGAAAAGTCAAAAGTCAAGAGTCATCTTGTTCAGTCGACTCAAAGGTGGACACGGACGAGGAGTACGAGCTCGCCAACCAGCTCGTGGTGTGTTGCGGCATATCCGCGCCCCACCACTCACACTCGCATGCCTATCTGCACTCATGATGCTCATTCACATGTGCTCGCACACACGGACGAGTGTGACCTCGCCAGCCAGCTCGAGGTCTGTCTCACTCACTCTCTCGCTCGCTCACTCGTGTGCGAGCGTGCGTGTGCACACGCGCACACACGTATGCACCACGCTGTTTCTTCTCGCTCACTTGTATGCGCGTCTGCACACGTGCTCACATGCACGCACGTACACACACTCACACTTACAACCACAGGCACGCTCACACTCATGCACGCACACGCACACGTGTATGCTCACACACACATGCTTGCTCACACACACGTACACTCGCACACAGATGCATACTCACACACAAATGCCGCGCACAAACACATGCACACTCACACACACATCCGCGCTCACACACACATGCACACTCACACACACATGCATGCTCACACACACATGCACGCTCACCCACACATGCACGCTCACACACACATGCACGCTCACCCACACATCCACGCTTATGCCACACTCACAAGCATGTGCCTGCTGTCTGCTGTCTTCACCTTCCCTGACTGCTGTGCTCTCTGCATGCTTTTCCTTTGCACCCTTACTCTCCAACCCCAAGCCCTCAACCCTCTTCCTCCTTGCACATGTCATCCCTCCCACCCCACATACAACCCTCCCAAACCATCTCTCGCCAGATCCGTGGGCTGCCCACAGTGGTGTTCGTGAGCAAGGATAAGTCAAAGCTTGCCGTCCGCACCGAGGGCTTGCTACCCATCGCATCCATCAAGCAGCTGATTGAGGAGATGTAGAGAAGGTTGAGGAGATTTGCCCGGTCATGGTCCGTGGTGGTTGTCATTCCAGTAGAAACAGATGTAGAGCTATTATATTCATTATTGCCACACTGGTATCGTATGATGTAGATCTAAGCAGATGATGTGCACATTGCATGTGCAGAAGGGTCAAGACTGAGTCAGCTGTCGGTATTACATAAAAAAGGTTTCTAAGATTTATCTCCAGAGAGAGATAAGGTCTCAATGTCAAGCTCACAAGGAATGAATAAAGCAAACCTACTTGCAGAGCCTTTAAAAGCCTGGTCACCTACTCTACTGCACCTGCAGTTGGTCTCGTGTCCGCCGCGTCTCTGCTCTGCTGTCTACTGCACCATCGTGTTCTGAGTTGAGATGAACGAATTTCGCTCAACACAAAGGCACTCGTTTGACTCCAACCATGGCATACGGCAGCTTTGTCAGTGGCGTGGCGTCTGCACACTGACATGCATCGACCCGGTTGAGGTGCCGTAGAAAAACCCACATGCATCAACCTTGGTCTTCAAAGGCGGTACCACCATGAGCTCTGCACCCAACACGCATCACCGCTCCATCTGCTGCGCCTCCTGCAGGTGCTCCAGGTGCCTTGCGGTTTCTGGTGGCTGTCGGTCCACCGTGGGGTGCGTTGGGCCTGCCACCAGCTCCAGGTCAAACTCGTGGCTCTCCCTGTACTCCTGCATGTGCATCATCACAGGTGGGCGTGAGGGCACATACCGGTAAGCATGTAGGGACATGAGAATCTATGCACATCTGTTCGAGGGCCCCGCCACCAGCTCCAGGTCAAACTCACGGCTCTCCCTGTACTCCTGCATGTGCATCACTGTTGGTTGGTGGGTGTGACATGCACACATGGGGTGACAGGCATGACAGATAGAGGGCACATACTAATGCAGGCATGTAGGCACATAGGTAGATGGGACAAAGTGGTCACGGGTGGCAGCAGCACTACCTGACAAGCGCGCAGGGGTGGCAGCAGCACTACCTGACAAAGCGCGCAGGGGTGGCAGCAGCAGTGGGCGGCGAAGTCATCCATGGGTCGTTCGTGCAGCCCCTTCTTGTGGCGCAGCTGGCGGCGCATAGAAGAGGCGTAGCACGGCACACACGTCAGCCAGTAGGCCCAGGGGCCGAGGATTAGCGAGAGAGGCGCGCCCCAGCACCCTCCCACCAGGCAGTAGGTGGCGAATGCCCTGCAGATTAAGGGAAGGAGGGGATGGAGGAGGCGTAGCACGGCACGCATGTGAACCGGTAGGCCATGGGGCCGAGGATTAGCGAGAGAGGCGCGCCCCAGCAACCCGCTAACAAGCAGTAGGTCGCGAACGCTCTGCAAACGAAGAGGAGGGATGGCTGCAGTGTAGCACGGCACACATGTGAGCCGGTACGCCCAGGGGCCTGGGATGAACGCGAGAGGCGCGTTTCAGCACCCGCCCACCAGGCAGTACGTGGCGAAGGCCCTGCGGACGGGGAGGCGAGGGAGGTGAAGGGTGGTGGTGAGGGGTGGTGAGGGGTGGTGAGGGGTGAGGAGGGGAGCAGCGGTGATCGTCCGTGCCGTCTACGGGAAGGGACAGGTTCATTTGGGGCTTGCGTGAGGCACGGCAACCAAGGCGACTCGCACTCGCCTGGAGAATTGCACGCGTCCGTCGGTGATCTTGCGCGCCGTCTGCGCGTAGAGGTAGCACGGCGCGCAGCACCCCAGCGCCGCGGCGCGAGGATCCCGAGGGAAGTCCTTGAGCCCCGAGTTCCACTCGCCCTTGCCGCGCCGGTGCAGCCACGACTGCGGCTGCTCGAACGGCCGCTCGCACGCCTCGGGATCCGCCTCCGCCTCCGCCTGCCGGTTATGCGCCCCTCCTTCGCCGCCACCTCCGCCGCCACCTCCCCCGTCACCTCCGCCACCGCCGCTTCGTCGTCCTTCCTCCGCCATGCCCTATTCCTCGAACTACTAGAGCAAATCTTCAAGGTCCCGACGTTGGAGAACCAGGCGGGATCTGTGTTGGGTGCTCCCCGGTTTTGCGCCTCGCGCCAGCCGTTCCGCCGCCATGCCGTCGCGCACGCGGCTGTCGGGTCCCCCCTCGTTGAATTCGAATTCTGCCTCCATTGTTTCTCACCGGGGCCACGGAAACAGACCATGTGCTTCGTCGTTGCTACCCTTACGCCGTGCCCGTTGGTGAGTCGACTGTCAGAGACTGGTGACGTGGCGCGATACGAGGCATGGTGAGTGCTCGGAGGCGCTTCGATGAAAGCTGTCCATTCCAGCTAGCGAGATTTCCCAGGGGGAGTGGGGGGCGAGCCAGTAACCAATGGTTACCCGTCGCTGCACGGTTGCGAAATCTTCTCATGTAACTGAGGAGTGCTGTGATTGGTTTCCCCTTCACCAAAGCATCTATTGGAAAAAGCAATTGAAGAAGCTTACTCCATTCATCAAACATTATACACATCCTGTGTCTCCTAGGCTTTGCTGCATATGGCAGCAATGCTGACGTTACTGCAGCTTACTCCAGCTCACGAAGAAAGTCTTGGTTGTCAACAAAAACCTGCAAGCAATGTAAGCGCAGCCATACACCATTAGTAATCAGCTGAAAACACACCAACAATATCAATTATTTTGGCTCAAGTGAATCGCCCATCCTCACCGTTTTGTACCCATCGGGGTCAAGGCACGCCACAATTTTGGTGTTGATGCCCGGAATGGGGCCCGGCTCACGCGTGATGGTTCCGCCCGCCGCCCGGATGGCCTCTGCTGTCTTGTACACATCGTCTGTTCCTATCGCTATCTGGAGCATGGATGGCAGGGGTTAATGGGGATCGAGAAGTGGGAAGCGGGGTCAGTAGTTAAGGGCACCAAGGGCAGCAAGCGCACTGTGGTGCCTGAGAGAAGCTAAATCACCACAGCGGCAGAAAGCAACAGCTGGAAGAGACCTGATAGAAAACAAACTTCTTCAGAGCAGAAGCACTCAAGACGCACAGCACATGGGCCCGTTTCTAGCAGTACTACCTGTGCATAGGCATTGCCCTTTTCGTATGACTCCACGCCATAGTTGTACGTGAGCTCCACCACCGCACTCTCTGCCTCGGGGCCATACCCCACCATGGCTATCGTGTACTGGGGGGATGAAATGGACCAGCACAGAAAACAGCTGAAGTTGGGTTGTAGAGGGGTGGTGGGGAGATTGTGGAGGGCTACGCTTGCGCGGTTGTCACCAAGGTTATGCACTGGAAAATCAAATACCAGAAGGGAATGTGCAACAGCAGTTCTTTTGAAAATTAGGGTGCAATAGCAGCTGCAAAGGGAGGAGAAGAAGAGTGTGTGTACCTTGTATTGGGGGTTGTCCCTAGTTCGCAGCAGCTTCATGCCATAAGCCTGCATACAGGCATGACCATGATTCGCGTGCAAGGAGAGAGCAAGAGAGAGCAAGAGAGGATTGATGATGATCATGATAATCAAGAGCAGGGAGGTGTTTCCACAAGCACTAGCAAGGGTAGAATGTAACGAGGGCAAATGATGCATGCTTTATGAGGTTGTGAGGGGTGACCCTCCTGGCACCGTCCAAGCTATGCGGTTGTGAGGTCAGTGGGGGGGGGGGGGTTGTGATAGCATGCGTGCATGCAGGGATGCAATGGGAGGGATGCGATGGGAGGGATGCGACGGGAGGGTTGCAGTGGAGGGTTGCGATGGCGATGGGAGGGATGGCATGAAAGGCAGGTGGGTGTGAGCACCTTCTCGTAGAACTTGATTGCCCTGTCCAGATCCCCCACTCGTAACATGACCTGCATGATGCCATGGTGCGATGGAGGCATGGTGGCATGGTGACATGGTGACATGGAGGCAAGTCGGCATGTTGACATGGTGACACGGTGACATGGAGCATAATGGCTGGCCGACACAGAAAACCTTGACGATTCCCACACTTAAGAGCTGATGCATGGTGAGATGCAGGAGCAGCATTTGTCAGGGCATCCGAACCTGGCACAGTGGCTCGGGAGTAGGTGGCCTTTGAATGATCTCCCACTTGTACCCAGACGGGTCCTGAGGTTCAAGAGATGGATGGAGTGCAGGAAGAGGAAGGGGGTTTGGAATAGAAGGAAGTGGATGGAAGGAAAAGCACGGAAGGCACAGGTGAGGGACGAGGGAACAGAGAGGCTAATGGATGCATCCTGAAGGGAGAAGATCCAAGAGAGGGGACGTGAAGATAACATGGAAATGACTCACATCAGCCATATTGCATGAATTCTGGCGTGGCATGGATTTTGAGAAGTCATAGCACACATCGCATGGCAGCATGACATCATCGCGACACAGCACCACGCCAATCACACTATCCCACCATCATACCATCCCACCATCATACCATCCCACCATCATACCATCACGCCATCACAGCACGACAGCATCATGGCATCACACCATCACGCCATGACAGCATGAAGTAATGACAGCAGGGTGGAGCGCCATCACACCTCAACGAAAGCGATGACGCTCTGCCCGCCCTTCACAGGGCCAGCCTCGCGAGTCACCTTGCCGCCCTGCGACTTCACCACCTCCACCGTCTTGTACACCTGGGGTGGGGCCGGGAGGGGCGGGGGACGGGGAGGGCGGGGAGGGGATAGCGATAGGAATGTTTAGGCTCCTCAAAATCCGGAACGGAATTTCACTTGTCTTGTACACTGCACCTGTAGAGGGGCCGGGTTGAGAGGGGGGAGGTGGAGGGTGGAGAATGGAGAGAACATGCGCTCTGTGCTGTGAAAGAACACTCTCAGCAACTGAGAAGGACTGACCTCTGTGCAGTGGGTGCATTGCAAACGAACCACGTGGCTCACAGCAGCATGGCACGTGGCTCACAGCAGCACGGCACGTGGCTCACAGCAGCATGGCACGTGGTTCACAGCAGCATGGCACGTGGCTCACAGCAGCATGGCACGTGGCTCACAGCAACATGGCACGTGGCTGACATCAGCATGGCACGTGGCTCACATCAGCATGGCACGTGGCTCACAGCAGCATGGCACTTGGCTCACAGCAGCATGGCACGTGGCTCACAGCAGCATGGCACGTGGCTCACAGCAGCATGGCACGTGGCTCACAGCAACATGGCACGTGGCTCACAGCAGCATGGCACGTGGCTCATAGCAGCATGGCACGTGGCTCACAGCAGCATGGCACGTGGCTCACATCAGCATGGCACGTGGCTCACATCAGCATGGCACGTGGCTCACAGCAGCATGGCACTTGGCTCACAGCAGCATGGCACTTGGCTCACAGCAGCATGGCACTTGGCTCACAGCAGCATGGCACTTGGCTCACAGCAGCATGGCACGTGGCTCACATCAGCATGGCACGTGGCACTCACATCCTCAACAGCGATGCCGAAGTGCCCAAAGCCCGCTCCAATGTCGTATGAGTCCACCCCGTAATCTGCCAATAGGGCAGAGGAATGGGGCAGAGGAATGGGGCAGAGGAACGGGACAGGAAAACGGGACAGAGGAATGGGGCAGAGGAACGGGGCAGCAGGGAAGCAGAGCAGCAGAGTAGCAGGGCAAAGGGGAGGGTGGAGGGGAGATTCATTGCGCGAATACCACAACTCGCCAGAGCAATAGGGTATCACAACAAGCACATTGCGGGGTGTCAAAGGGCCCCATGCCTCAGCGACCGTTGAAGCCATTGGCCAAGATGCTGAGGAGAGAGAGAGAGGGGTTGACAACAAATTTGCTACTCACCCGCAGGTGCACTGCGTACTCGCTATAAATGACCTCGTCACTCACTATAGGTGAGCTCAACAACGAAGGTGGAGGTCTCAGGCCCGTAGCCAAGGAAGGCGTTGGAGTACTTCTCCTCGGGAATGTCGCGCTGCCTCAGCAGCTTCATGCCCAGACACTCCGTGTAGAACCTGCTCCCCGCCACCCACCAGGGGAATGATCAGATCAGAAGGATGTCAAAGGGATGTCAGAGGGACGTTAGAGGGACGTCAGCGGAATGTCAGAATGACGTCAGAGGGACGTCAGCGGAATGACAGAATGACGTCAGTGGGATGTCGCTCACAGCACTCAGAATGAAGGCATTCGGTCCACCACAGCACCCAATCGAAGCACAGCAAAGGCAGGAGCCAATCGTAAGAGCGTGGCGCGCGGGCATTCAGGCCAAGGGTGCATGCAGCACCGATACAACGGTAACTTTTTTTTCTTTTTTTTGGAAGTCACGCTTGAGAAAACTCAAACGTGTCTCACAACTCGAGCAGCATGTCACGCAGCACCCAGCACCCAGACACCGCCGACATAGCATGCGTGAGCGGAAACGCTCCGCAATAACACGAACGCCGCGTGCTATCTCGGCGACTCTGCTCTAGGCATGTGCGACGGTAAACGACTGAGCGACGCACTTGATAGCGGCATCCAGGTCGCCCACGCGGTAGACGACGTGCAGCATGCGACGGTTGTCGCGAGCCACGAAATCCGCCAGCTCCTCGCCGCTCGCCGTTGCCGCTGACGCCATGACCACTCGCGATCGAGACGCCCGTCGGGAAACGGGGAGAGACGGCGAGGCGCGGGTAACGCGTTCCAGCGAATAAGAATTTCCCCTGGAATAAACGAGGGAATCATGTGCTTGTCAGCGCTTTTAAGAGTAAATTGGAGAGAAAATGTTACATAATCAGTTGAGATATCAGATATCCTAGAATGTCGAAGAGGCAGTGAGGAAAAATAGTCAGAGCAGGCTCACAAGATCGCTTGTTGCACGCCGTTGAATGCGGTGGCACCGTTGGATAGACGACGGGCTCGGCTGATGGCAACAATGCGAGACGCGAGAGGAGAGGCAAGCGCTGCTGCCATGGCAATATCAAGACGCACGAGCTTTTGAAAACGTGGTGGCTTCAGGTCAGGAGCTAGAAATGTTGGAACGGAATTTACCCATAGGAAGCAGCAATGCAGATTTAACGAGTTACCACGTTAAAGTGAACGAACCAAGGGATGGTTTGCGAAAAGCGCTATTGGCTGCAAACTCGGCTGCACCAGCAAGCGAAAACCCAATGCGAAGAATCCAGTTTGTCCCGTGGATTTGGACATTGTAAGACTTGGGGGGAGGATCTTGGAGCAGAAGGGGGATGAGTGCGGACCAGAACGAGACACGTGGCATAAAAAACACAGGGAAGTGATTCGACTTAAGATGGCTCGCTGACGTGCGAACCATCAGACTGTAGGATTCCTGGCAGGCAACAAAAGGCTTTGCCTGCAGTATTTCACTAGATGAAAACCAATCTAGTAAGGGGCTCAAGGTATGCACACACACGAAGGTACATGGGTGTGCAATGTTAGTGTCTTATAGTCTTATTAGGGAATTATTGGAGAGAAGTATTTTGTAAAAATGGGGTCAAGGGCGCAGTGTAGCAGCAACACGTGGTAGACCTCCAATAGCAGGTGCGGGAACCGATCGCGAAAGTACCTCTCGAACCCATCAGGCAGCGGACCCAGAAGCTCCTGCATGCGAACGCAGAGCCACAACAAGGTCCACAGCAGAACAGTGAATACTTGATAAGAGGACAATGACGGACCACCCACCAAAGATTCAGCTGCAACAGAAAACAAAAACCGCAAGCAAGGGAATCAAAACTGGCACTCTCCTCCTCACCTGCAGCTCGGACGGCAGTTCCCGGTAATGATTGCACTTGTTCCGAATCACCCTAAGCAGATCCCGCACACTGTGAAAGTTATACCGCCTGTACTTCCCCAGATTCCCCAGCAGCGCCCCATCCACACGCTCGTTCCACCCACCGCCCTTCTCCCCAGGCGCTTTACTAATCCCCCCCTTGCGGGCTATGGCCCTGGGCGCCACTGCCTCTAGGGCATTCAAGAGAGGCGAGTGGGCCTCGCGGTCTTCCCCCTCCACGCGGTCACTGGCGTCTCGGAGAAACGCCAGCCGCTGCTCTGCTGACCAGAAGAACGGATGCCTCTGCACCTCGTGCGCTGGGGGCCTGGATGGATGGTGGGAGGGGGTGGAGGAAAGCTGGCTTAAAGGCAAGTCTAGTATAGCTGGCCAGAAGAAGGGTTGGCTCTACACCTCGAGCGCTGGGTGCCTGGGATGATCGGTGGAGGAAGGGGTGGGTTCAAGTTGAGGGAACAGCTATGTGAGCGAACGAGCAGAGCAGGGCCTTTATACGTCTCGGGGTCTCTGTCAAGCAGAGTGGCCACCAGATCCAGCGCCTCAGGCACGTGGTCAATGGGGAACAGGTCAGCCCTTCCCGCCACAACTTGGTGGTTCTAAGTTGTTACAAAAAAGAAAACAGCAACTTTCTAGTCTATTCTTCACGCACCTTTTCTCAGGGTCTCTATCAAGCAATGCCGCAACAAGATCCAGCGCCTCAGGCACGTGGTCGATGGGGAACAGGTCCGCCCTCCCCGCCACCACATTCGCATCACGCTCAAACCACTCTCCAAACGGGTGGCTGCCGCCGCTCACACAGAAGAACACCAGGCACCCGAATGAGAACATGTCCACTGATTTTGTCAGCCTCGACCCGTCTTCTAGCTGCTCTGGCGCCTGCCACCCGCTGCTGCCCGAGCCTGCGGTCATCGTGTCGAAGGAACTTGCTCCGTCGCCGAGCCTCTTGCTGATGCCCATGTCTGATAGCTTGCCCCGCATCCGGACCTCCAGGAGAGGTATGGCCCGAGCCAGGGCTGCTGCTGCGGCAGAGGCAGAGGCGGCTGATGCTGCGACTGCTGCAGCTGTAGCTGTGAGGGAGGAAGCTGCAGTGTCTGGCGTTGCTGCTGCTGCTGGTGTTGCTGCGGATCCTCCTGCTGCTGCTAATGCTGCTGCTGATCCTGCTGCGGACCCTCCTGCCCCTGCATCTCCCCCTGAGGTCGACAGCACAGCAGGAGACCCAAACTCCTCACCCGCCCCTGACCCACCCTTACCCCCACTAACCCCTCCTGCACTCGCCCTACCCTGTGCCTGCCCGCGCTGCCGGTGCCGGCTGGGCAGCAGCAGCGAGATGAGCACATTATGGGGCTTTAAGTCCCGGTGCACAATCCTCTGATCGTGCAGATAAGCCAGCCCACTCGCCACGTCCCTCAACAGTCCCACCAGCTGCTGTGTGGGTTGCCCCTTATCGTCCCACAGACATAGCCCTTGCATCCCCACGCCATGTGAGGTGCAGTAGGCCTGTACTCGCTCCAATGCTGCTGATATGATTTCACGCTCGGCGGAGGAGGATGGGGAGAGGCGGAGGGATAGTGAGGGGGTTTTGAGGTGGAGAGGCGGGTCGGAGGCAGGGAGCGAGGAGGAGGAGGAGGAGTGAGAGGAGGTGGAGGAGGAGGAGGTTTGGAAGGGGCTGGAGGGAAGTTTGTTGGAGGAGGAGGAAGGCCCAGGAGCATCAGCACCACCAGCAGCGGCACCAGCAACCACATCAGCAGCAGAAGCAGCAGACGCAGCAGACGCACCAGATGCACCAGCAGCACCAGCAGCACCGACAGCAGGTGGTGGCGCCACTGCCGCAGCAAGGCTAGCCCGGCACGCAAGCACGAGATCAGCAAGGTTGAAAGCACACCGCTCCAGAGCCACATACACAAACGACTCGTCCTCCTCCATGGCAAAGCACCGCACCACGTTGGGATGCTCATCTGTCGCAATCAGCGCCGCTATCTCCTGCCGCGCGCGCTCGTAGAACTGAGACAGCATCCGCTTCACGGCCACCTGTCGGCCCTCCAGCCGCCCCTCCAGCACCAGCGTCCCGTGACTCCCGTGCCCGATCACCCGCCGGGATACAAACAGCCGCCCCACCCATCGCCCCTCCTCCCGCTCCTCCCCGTCCTCCTCCCTCTCCTCCTTGCCTGCTGTGTGGCTGTCAATCCCACCCCCGCCCGGGCCCTCTCCTGGCCCTTCGTTGTCGCGGCTGCCTCGGCGGGAGATCAGTTTCCCAGCGCTGTTCTGCCTGCTGCCACTGCCCAGCTTGCCCACACTCCCCAGCAGCCTGCTCAGCCTCCCTCCCCCAGATTCGCCCTGCCCTGCATCCTCCCTGCCTGGATCCCCTGCGGCGTCTTGTCCAGATGGCACGATCCCATTGGCCGGGTCATCCTGCTGTGCAACCAATGGTCCTCCTTCCGCTCCCCCTGCTGCGCCTTCAGCTGCTGCTGCTCCTTCTAAGATCTTGTTCCTCCTAGCCGCCCCCTGCTTGCCTCGCTTCCTGCTGCTGCTGCTGCTATGGCCACTGCTTCCCCCACCCAGCCCTTCAGCCGCCCACTCTTGCCAGGAAGCCGGCAGCAGCGCCACCACCACCCGTGCCACCCACGACAGCCCATCTTCGTTAGTAGCCCCTCCTCTATACGGCCCCCTGCCACTCGGCGCACCATTCATGTGCGACGCATGCCTCGGAGGGTGAAAGGAGGAACCCTGCCTTTGCTTCCTTGCAGGAGTGCCGCGGCCCGATGCGGCCGCAGCAGAGGAGGAGGAGGATGGAGCAGAGGAGGAGTAAGAAAATACCGAAGCACCGGCTACTATCCCAGCCAGGGTGGCAGCTGCGGCAGCCAGGATTCCGAACGAGGACAGGAGGTTTGGCGGGGTGGGCGGGGCCTGGGGCCCCACAGCAGGCTCCATGTCCTTAGGAGGCCCAAGGCGGCGGTTCTTCTCCCCTCTGCCTGCACCAAGCTCCATATCCGCGTTACTAGCAACCCCGATAGTGTCACCAGCGCCAATGCCGCGCCCCCACAGGCTGATCATGCCGGTCCAGCCCAGCGAGTCCTCCCCATCCACACTGCTGCTCCGCTCGCTCTCTGCTGCCACTGGGCTTGGCGCTCTCTGCTGCTGCATATTGTAGTGCTGCTGCTGTTGCTGCCGCTGCTGCTGCTTATTGTACCCCTGCTGCTGCTGAGCTACATCTCCTGGACGTCCCTGATGGTCGTTCCAGGGGCTCTGCGCTCCATACTCAGCCCCTGCCAGGTCAATGCCCCCGTGCACAGCAGGGCTGTCAGCGCACCCCATGGCGTCATACAGAGCAGCTGCTGCACCCGGCGCCCTCACCACTATAGGGTACAGCGAATCATCCCCACTGCCACTCCCACCACTGCCACTCGCAGCACCAGTGCCTAGCCTCCCCCTACTTCTACCCCTGCCCCTACCACCACCGCCATTCCCATCACCAGCTTCCCCAGCAGCAACACTAGCTCCTCGCGTCCCTGCAATCCTAGGCGGGTCTGTGACTGTGAACTTGCCTGTCCTACCCGCCACAGCACCACCACCCACCCCTCCACCACCTGACAAGCCTGCAGCCATGCCCGTAGGCAGGCCGTCAGAGGGGGAGTGGGGCGAGGCTGGGAGGAGGGGGAGGGCAGCATTGGGCGCGTCAGTGGAGCTGGGAGTGACGAGGGCGAACGGGCTGCCTGCCACACGCCCCACATACAGCACCTGCCCGGGCCCCGTGTCCTTGGACGAATCGCGCGACACGAATTCCTGCACGAGTCTGCCCGACGGCGTGAACGCTGCGAGCGGGGCAGACGAAAAAGTTGTCTGCCATGCCTGCTGCCCTGTTTGGGTGTTGGTCAGCTGGATGGAGTAGATGTCAGAATTACCCTCTTCCGATGGGTCCATACTCGTGGTAGCTGCAGCAGTTAACCCTCTGTTGAATCCTGCCAAACCTAGACCTCCAATCTCATCCCTTTCCCCCTGCCCTTGTCCCCCCGCCCCGATTCCCAGATCAATATCTGGCTCCGAATCTTCTCCAGAAACGCTGGATGGCAAGAGCTGTCGTTTAGCCACTGCCAGTGAAGCAGCAGCAGCGTTAGGCACCCCACTCCCGTGACCATCAAACACGCCTCTACCTGTGAGATCCATCCCTGATCTTCCCCCTCCGCCTTCCCTTCCCGCCCCCAGCGCTCCCCCCAAAACTCCCCCAATGGGTGCTCCGCCCCCCACGCCTCCCCCCACGCCTCCCGCTAGACCCAGCAGAGCTCCATTCACGGGGCTCAGCTCGCCGAAGCTGACATTCCACCGCTGCTTGCCAGACCTGAGCTCCACCGCCCGAACCACATAGTCGGTTCGGAGCACCAGCAGGGACGACGCAAGCAGGCGATCACACTCCCTCTTCTTCTTCTGCTGCTGCTGTTGCTGTTGCTGCTGAGGTACGCCTTCTGCTCCCTCCCTTTCACTGCTCCTAGAACCTTCCAGGAACCCTACTCCTCCATCTATCCCCACGCCTTCACCGCCCTCCTCTTCAGCCATTTTCAGGCAATCCGCCAGAGGGCCGTCCATCTGCTCGTTGCCATCATTACTTGTCGCAGAAAAGGACAAGCCGCCGCCGCCCGGAGGAGCGAGCGGGTCGAAGGAGCGCAACACGGCACCTGTGACTGGGTCGAGCAGGAAGGCCGTTGATTTCTGTGATCCAACGATCACGGTCGCGCCGTCGCGGGTGACTGAAGGCGAGGCGGACACGAGCTCTTTGGCTGTTATGGGCAGCTCCTGGGGGAAAGGGGGAGGGAGAGGGGGGGAAGGGACAGGGAGAGGGAGGGTGCAGGAGGGTGGTGCAGGGAGGGGGGTTTGAGGAGGGGGGAGTGGGAGAGTGCCAAGATAGAAGTGACGGACGTAAGCAAGGGAGGAGGAGAGCAGGACGCAGCGGGAAGGGAAGGTGTACGCGAGTTCCTTGGCCGTGTGACTGATAGCGCCGCCCCCTGGTGGAGGCTAGGGAAGACGAAGGCAGGGGGCGTTGTGTGGGCAAGGGAGGGTGAGAGGCAGATTCTATGGTGTGGAGTAGAATGTGGAAAGGAGAGGGTGATGCGACTCAATAGGCATAACGGAAGCAAGACAATACTGGGTGCGTTGGCAAGACATCTCCTTACCAACCCTTTTCTAGCCTACACGACCCCTACGTTTAACACGCAGCCATATGCACACATACGAACTTTCCACACATCGCAAGCATGTGCACATTCCCTCCACATATGGACTGCGCGTACCTGTAAGCCAAGCCCTTCCCTGTACGAGTACAGGCGCCCATTCACCCCCGGAATAACCATCTCCTTGCCCGCCCCTCTCCCCCTTCCCTTTCCCATCTCCCCCTTCCCACCAATCTTCCCACTCCCATCTCTCTCGCCACCCCCACCGCCACGCGCACCATTCCCCTTTCCGATCCTCACTCCCCCCCATCCCCATTCCCCCTCCCCCTCCTCCTCATCCTCATCCTCCTCATAGTCCCAGTCCATCTCATCTCCCCCGCCCCATCTTTCCGCCGTCCCATGCCTAGCCTTCCCCCCGTGCGCACTCTCCTCCGCTCCCCTTTCCCCTACACCTTCTGCCAGCCTTCCTTCCGCCAATCCCCCTTCCGCTCCTGCGCCCTGCGCTGGACCTGCAGCGGAGACGAGCGGCTGACCGGACGCGAAGGTCCATTTCACCTCGCCGGTTCGCGAGTCTACGGCTCTTATCGAGCCGTCTAATAGCGTGATTAGAACATTCGACGAGGAGGATGGTCTGAGATGGGTCAGAAAAAAAAAAAAGAATTTGGAAAAAAAAAAAAGTGAAATGAAAGTTGTTCTTGGGAATGGGACTTGAAGCTAGAGGGTAATAGGGGTAAAGGATAGGGATAAGGGGGTTGGGATTGGGATAGGGGAGGAAACGACGTATCCCATGTAGCGACACTGAGTGACGACTGCTCTTGACGTTACAGGAGTCTATTGGACGCTCTGCACGGCAATGGACTGCAAACGAGAAAGAAACGCCTTCCGAAAAGCAGTCAGGTGTTTTTGGTGGAAACCGTCGGACCTTGGAAGAAGTGTGGACTGCGAGGGAACAATGGTGCCGACAGGTCCGTCTGACGTGGCAGGATCAGCGGTTATTCCGCGCGTGTCCTTAGAATCGACGAACGGCACCGCTTCTTCAGAAGTGCGGTGACTCGGGCTAGACTTGGAACTGGCAATATAAGCTGACTCCTTAGGTTCCTTATTGAGAGATTCTTTAAAGTTGCTGGAGTTTGCAACCCGACAGGAGGCGAAGAGAAGCAGGGCGATTATAAACACGACTCGGAGGAAAAGGCCGGAAATGCCACGTGTGAAGCAGTCCCGCCACCAGTCATGCTCGCTCGGTTGCATTGCCAAGCTCCGACGCTCTACTATCGAGGACGGATGCGAGTCGCAACGACGCGAAACGGAAGGGCTCGAGTACGGGCTACCAATGTGTTAGAACGGCTGCTGCAGGCCTGGAACTGCAATAGGGAAGGCTTCAATATAGGAGAACGAACGAATCCGCAAATTGCTGGCACGAAGGAAGCTGAGGTGCAGGGGGTTCGTGCTTGCGAACAGTCGGAGTTTGGATGGTTGGGTGGGTGGTGTCAAAGTACACACGGGTTTGTTTCGAATCACACGGGTTGCTCCGCAGCCCAAAAAGCACCGATGATCCAACAACAGTTGAGCAAGTAAAGTCCCCAAGCATAGCTTTGCGGGCAGGAAAATTTCCCTCAGGCCGCCAAAAGCCAAACCCAAGGCCCCCAAAATGCCCAAACCCGGAGAGTTTTGCTCAATTTCGCGGAAGCGCGGTTTAATTTATTTTTGCCACGTGGCATGCCTTCGATCGCGCAAACCGCGATCTGTTTTATTGTTATCACAAACTTCAAAAGAAATTTAGTTGAGTTCTGTACTGCGCTGCCCGCGCGCAAAAATAAAACCCCTATAGGTAAGGCATGCGTTAGGGATGCATCAACCCTGAACACCTAGAGGCAAGGTGTTTAGGGTTGATGCCTCCCTAACGCATGCCAGGCCCAAATGGGTTTTATTTTTGCCCGCGGGCAGTGCAATACAGAACTTAACTAAATTTCTGTTGAAGTTTGTGATAACAATAAAACAGATCGCGGTTCACGCGATCGAAGGCATGCCACGTGGCGATAATAAATTGAACCGCGATTCCGCGGGTTTGAGCAAAACCCTCCCAAACCCGAGGCAAGTGTTTCCCGCCAAGGGCGCGTCAAGCCCGAGGGCCAAAGGCGCGCCTAGATGCTGATGCGCCTGCCGAGGCTAAGGGATTGGGTATGGTGCAGAGGCGCGGAAAACACCCTGCTGGAATGTGGGGCTGGCTGCATCCAGCCAGCCTCGATCTGTGCATGCGGATGGCATGGCAGAAGGCTTGGCGTGGCGGTGAGGTTTGAACATCTTCGGAGAAGCAACAGTTCTGGAAGCATCGTACTATCATCAATGTGTTGTACATAAAAAACTATGAGTCTATGACCTCCATCTCGAGTTTCTAACATAATACATAAACAACCATGTGAATAAAGCTGACGCTATGTTAACCAATATTGTTGTTGGAAGCAGTATTCCCTATATCCAAGAAAGCAGTCATACCACTATCAGAGTCCCGTGATACATTAAACAAAGGTGGGAAAGATGGCTGCTCAAGCACCTCCCCTTCCATAGAAGCTGATAAGCTTTGCTCTTTGGAACTGGTGTCAGCAATTGAAGCTTGAAACGAGGTTTCACGCACAGCGGTGCTCGTGGACAAAGACGCTTCTGCATGTCTAGAAGGCGCTTCCTCCTGTTCATGCCTCTGGGTTTGGCCCCTTTGCTGCTTAAACCGTCTCCAAAGATTCCTAGGTGACTGTACCTCATTGTTTGACAAAATCTTCACGAGGGCTCTCTTGTCTGCATCGCTACCATGGGAGTGTATGGGAGACATGACCGGAACCTCGGGACCTGCTCTTGCTGTCTGCGCCTGGCCATTAAACGGTGCAGCAGACGCCTTTGGCTCTCTGGCGTATACACGAACATCCATTTCCTGCTGCTCTTGTTGTACTACTGGCTTCTGCTCCAGCTGCTGCTGCTCCAAATGCTGCTGCTCGAAATGCTGCTGCTGCTGCTGCTGCCTCTGCTGCTGTGTTAGCTGCTCCTGCTGCTTTTGTTGTTGCTTCCTTGGCTGCTGCACTGGAACCTCCTGCTGCTGCGGCAGCTGCTGCAACAGCTGTGGCTCCTGCGGAGGCTGCTTCGACAGCTGCTCAAGCTGTTGCTGCAGGGCCTGTTGCTGCTGTGACCACACCTGCAGCATCTGCAGCACTGGCTCAGACGTCCCCTCTTGAACCTGTTTCGTCTCTGAGCCCACAACCCCCGTCACTGCATCCGCCTGCTGCCCTCCTCTCCCCATCTGCTGTGCAGCCTGAACTTCCTGTGTCTGTTGCACTGATCGCAATTCTGGCTGCTCCACCTGCTGCCGTCTCGACTCCGCCAGCTGCTGTTGCTGCAGCTGCTGCTGTTGCTGCAGCTGTTGCTGTTTCTGCAGCTGTTGCTCTTGCTGCAGCTGTTGCTGTTGCTGTTGCTGCAGCTGTTGCTGTTGCTGCAGCTGTTGCTGCAGCTGCTGCTGCTGTTGCTGTTGCTGCTGCCATTGCTGTTGCTGCTGCCATTGCTGTTCCTGCTGCTGTTGCTGCTGCTGCTGCTGCTGCGCCTGCTGTGGCTGCAATTGCGCGTGCAGGAGCAGGTGCATCATCTGCTGCTGCTGCGCCATCCACTGTTGCATCAAGGCTGCCTGCTGCTGCAGCCACTCCTGCTGCATCTGCTGCATCTTCTCCCACTGAGCTTGCTGCTGCTGCTGCTGGTTCTGCCACTGCTGATTCTGCTGCTGCGGAGCCTGCTCAGGTATTCCACCAAAGCTCTCTCCCGTGGGAGAAACTGAGAACTGTCTGCTACGCCTCCTCCTCCTCCTCCGCCTGCTCTGCTGGCAGTACTGCTGCTCACCCTCCTCTCCACCAATACCTCTCGCCCTCCCCTTCCCACTCCCACCAGGCTCCTCACTCACTGAGTCACCAGTGCTGCTGCATGCAAGTGCACTGCAGTGTGTGTCAGGGCTTCTGGTTAAACCTTGAAGGGGAGCAGATTGCAGGATAGTGGATTGCAGGGGGGTCGATTGAAGGGGAGTAGACTGCAGGGGAGCGGTAGTGGGGACGGGCGGGGGAGAGGGAGATACAAAAGGGAAGGGCGGACGAGAGGGGGGCAATGAGGAGGGGAACGCTGCAGGGGAGAAATGGTGAGGGAGAGTAGGGGATGTGAAGGCGGGAGGTGGAATGGAGGGCTGTGGAACTGGGATGGCGGCAGCTGATGCAAACAGTGGTGCGGTGGAGTGTGGTGGCGAAGGAAAAGCGGTAGGTGGAGACAGGGTGAAAGATGGTGGCGGAATGGCAATTGGTGCTCTTGCTCCTTCTGCCGACAAAGGAGCTATTAATGGTGCTGATGGGGGTTGGAAAGAAAGAGCGGCTTCAGCAGCCGTCCTTAGGAGGAGTGTTTGATTCTGCTGGGGCGAGTCATGCAAAGAGAGGCCAGTTGCGGCTGCAGCAGATGATTTTTCAGTCGACTCAGAAACCATTCCCTGTTCAGGCAAGTGAGGAATTGACGAGCGAGTGGGGACAGTAGCAGTCCTGGCGTGTTGCGGCGAGTGAGGAACTGAGGACCTAGGGAAAAGTGGTGAGGGGTGAGAGGCGGCAGCAGCAGTCAGAGAAACAGAGCGGTTGGTGGGGGGCCCAGGGAAAGGGGGGAAGGGGGAAGATGGGGATGAGGACGAGTGAGAGAGTGAGAGGGGGACAGTGGGGGCCATGGTGGTCTGTGGATGGATGGAGAACGCAGGGGAACGGGGCGGCAGGAGGGAGGGAGGAGAGACGAAGCGGAAGGGTTGGGAGAGGAAATGTTGTGAGGACAGAGGCGCAGGGGAGGGGGAGGCGGAATGCTGAGTAGTAGCAGTAGCAGTGGCAGTAGCAGTGGCAGCAGCAGGAGTGGTGAAAGCAGGTGCTGGTGCAGCAGATGGGTCCAGAGGGGCAGCAGCAGGGGCAGCAGCAACAGCAGGGTCAGCAGCAGCATCAGGCAACTGGACAAAGTGTTTGAGAATCCTTCTCTGCGGCACCACAATGCTCGGCGGTCCCAACAGATCCTCTAGCTCCCCCAACTCCACCCCTTCTGCTGCTCCTCCCTCCTGCTCCAGCCCCGATGTGCCGTTGTTCGGCCTTGATGCTGCTGTGACACCCCCGTTTTCCGTCACACCTCTCACACTGCTTGGCTGCAGCACTGCTCCCACCTCTTTCCCACCTTCCAGATGCTGTCCCTCTGCACCTCCGTCTTTCGCTGCTTCTCCCCGCTTCTCTACATCCCCTTGTACTTCTCTTCTCGCCTCCACAGCCTCTCGTGCTTCCCCACTGGACACGCCTCCCCCCACCTTCATCTTCTGAAAAATCTCCCACAGGGATACCGCCTCCCGCTCCCCCGCTCCGCCCTTCTGCTCGCGAGGCACCTCAGCAGTCACCTTTTGAGGCGCCTCCACTGTCACCCCACCCGCCACCTCCATTTCCTGAAACTGCAGCCACAGGGGCATTGCCTCCTGCTCCCTCTCTCGACCCTTGTGCTCACCGCCCAACCACCCCCACCTCTCGCCCCTCCTGCCCTCCTGCCCCTCCTCTTCCTCCAACCAGCCTTGTTCTTCCTTGGACCGTGGGTTGTCTCCTGCGCGAGTCTCGCTCCCAAGGGCTTTTATGCGCAGGGCAGGAGGGGCTGGTGCGGTAGCAGCAGCAGCATCCCGCCTTGAAATGCCTGCATCTGATTTCGCCCTTCCTATCTGAGTTGGCTGACGGCCGGTGGGATGAAGGGCGGGGGGTTGAGGTGCGGTCGGGTGAGGCGCGGTGGGGTGAGGCGCGGTGGGGTGCGGTACAATGGGGTCCATGACTCTGATGGTCGGTGCCGGGAGAGTGATAGAGGAGGAGCGGCAGTGGTTGGGTTTGTTACTCAGGAGTGGGTTCGTAGGGGTGAGAGAGAGCGGTTTCACAGGGGTGAGGGAGAGCGGTTTCAAAGGGGGGAGAGAGAGGGGACGAGAGGCAGGAAAAGGGGAATTAAAGGGGGAGAGAGCAGGAGTGGATGCAACCATGGGGGACAGGGCAGAGTGGGAGGGGGTGGAGGGAGAGGGGGCGGACGGGGAGGTAGATTGGCGGGGAGATGAGGGAGGGGCAGCAGAGGTACCACCAGACACAGTCTCAGCCTCCTCCATCCCTCCACCCCTCTCCATCCCTCCACCCCTCTCCGACCCTCCTCCCCAACCACTGTCTCCGCCGTTTTGTTCCACCCCTCTATCCCGCTGTAACCCTTCCCTAACACTGCTCTTCTTCCACCTCTGCATCTCCCTTCCTCCATCCCACTCTCCTGCTGCATCCCCTTCACTCCCATTCAGCCCTGCCCCTGGCGCCCCATCCCTCTGCGCTCCCCCCACTCCCCCATCTCGCCGCCCTGCCCCTGCCTCACCGTCTCGCCGCCCTGCCCCGGCCCAGCTGCTGGACCTGCCAAAGAGGGGAAAGCGCCACCGGCCTTCCCCAGGCGACTTGCCTTCCCGATCTGCCTTCCCTTTCTGAGTTGACCCGCCTTCCCGGGTTGACCTGCCCCGCTTGTCCCTGGGACTGCCAGTTCCCTCACTGCCCCGGCTGCTCACTCTGCTACTCGCCCTGCCACTGCGGCTCTCTCGCCCACTCCCCCGCCCACTCTCCCTCCCGCTCTCCCTCCCACTCTCCCTCCCACTCCCATGTTCACTCCCTCTTTCCATCACACTCCCACTCCCTCTCCTCTTCTCCTCTCTCTTCTCCTCCCCTATCTTAATCTGATCAGCAGTGCCACCATCCCCATCACCGACAGAAGGGGTCACTGCCAGGACAGCATCCAGCGCCACGTCAGCAGCTCCGGTTACCTCATGAGCTGGCACACTTCCTTCCAGCCTCCACTCTCTAGCCGCCTTTTCCGCTGCCCTGGCTGCTGACTCCAACAGCCTTCGCGGATCAGCCTCTCCACCCTCCTCCTCCAACCCCCCCTCCCTCTCCCTTTCCTCTAGTTCTGCGCCAGTAGCAGCAGCGGCTGCAGCGGGGGTGGCTTGGAGCAGGAGGGGGGCCACAGAGATAAGTGGTGGAGATAGAAGAGAACCAACCCCGCCACTTCCCTGCACACCAGCTGTGCTGCTGCTCCTGTTGCTGCTCCTCCTACTGATCCTACTACTGGTGCTGCTGTTGTTGCCAGGACCAGTGCCCCCAGCTGCCTCCTCAGGCACGCCGTCACTGCGTGACTGATCCTCAGCAGAACGGGCAGCAGGAGCGGCAGCAGCAGGAGCAGCAGGAGCAGGAACAAGAGCAGCAGCAGGGTTAGCAGCAGCAGCAACAGCAGCAGCAGAAAGACCACTAGCGCCAGTGGAAGTCTCAAAAACAGCCCCAGTTCCAGCCCCAGAAGTACCCTCTGCATCCCCCTGAACCCCAGCCGCAGTTGGTGTGGCAGGCACAGCTGCAGCCCCAGTCTGAGCAGGAGTGGCAGGCACAGCCTCAGCCGTCACAGCTTGAGCCACTGCAGCAGCAGCGGGTGCATGTGCATCTCCCCCAGCAGCAGTAGACCCATCTTCCCCAGTAGCAGAATACACATCTGACCAGCGTGATGACTGCAGCCTGGGGTTTCCCAGTGGGGACGAGGCTGTGGATGCTGAGGGGGCAGAGGGGGCGGAGGAGGAGGAGGGGGCAGAGGAAGCAGAGGGGGCGGATGGGGCGGAGGAGGATTTTGAAGGGATGGGGTGGGCGGCTTGGGCAGAAGGGGAGGGGGATGTTGAGTGGGCTTGCTGCTGCGGCTGCTGCTGCTGCGACGGCGGCAGTGACGGCTGCTTCTCCTGCTGCTGCGCCCACTGCTGCTGTGCCTTCCCCTGCTGCATCTGCCGCTGCTGCATATGTCCCAGCTGCCCATGCGATGTGACAGCAACGAGGGTGGATTCCAACCTAGGGCTTGTAGAGGAGGAGGAGGGGAAGGGGAAGGGAGCAAGCGCCTGGGAGGGGGAGGAGATGCGGGAGGAGGAGGAGCGGGAAGAGGAGCGGGGCTTGTGAGTGGACTCAAAGGCCGGCTGGGAGGGCGAGGAGAGGCGAGAGGAGTGGGATGAAGAGCGGTGGGAGGTGGTGGAGATGGTGGTGGGAAGCGGCGGGTACACCTGAGGGTTGCGTGCTGATGCTGGGGAGGAGCTGGGGAGGTGGGGGAGGGGAGTGAAAGGGAGCGGGGTGAGGGAAGGGGGGAGAGGGGAGGCGGGGGATGAAGGCAGGGGAGGGGAGAGGCATCGAGAGGAGCGAGGAAGGGATGAACGATTCAGAAAAACGGAGATATGGCAAAGAGAGGAGAGCCAAGGGAGGAGAGCGAAGGGAGGAGAGCAGGAAGAGAGGATGACTGCAGTTGGCAGGGAGGGAAGCGCTGGGTGCTTACAAAGGGGAGTTTTGAGTCGACTCAAAAGTCGAACTTGGAGGTTGGCTGCTTACAACGGGGAGTGCGCGAGCACGAAGGGGTGGCGCAAGAGGGCGGTGGCGGGGGGCCGGCGGCGCGGGTCGAGGTGCAGGCAGCAGGCGATGAAGTCTGCCAGGTCCTCTGATAGGCCCGGTGGGATGGGTGGGGGCACCTGCGCGGCTGCTATCTTCATGAAGGCCGTTTCCTGGTCAGGCAGGGGATGCAGTGGGGGAGGAGAGTCGTGTAGGCCGCAGGCGAGGTGGGGCATGTGGGGCATGTGGGGCAACATGTGGGGCATGTGGGGAATGTGGGGCATGTGGGGCATGTGGGGAATGTGGGACACTGACAACGGAGGGGCCAGTTGAAGCAGACAAGGAGAGCACTAAGCACTCACAAGACCAAAGCCGCAGCCCCAGATGGGACAGCCGGAGGCGGGGTGGAACCAGGGCGGCCGAAGAGTGTGGGGAATGTGGGGCGGGGCACATGTGACACTGGCAATGGAGGCACATGTGACACTGGCAATGGAGGCACATGTGACACTGGCAATGGAGGCACATGTGACACTGGCAATGGAGGCACATGTGACACTGGCAATGGAGGCACATGTGACACTGGCAATGGAGGCACATGTGACACTGGCAATGGAGGCACATGTGACACTGGCAATGGAGGCACATGTGACACTGGCAATGGAGGCACATGTGACACTGGCAATGGAGGCACATGTGACACTGGCAATGGAGGCACATGTGACACTGGCAATGGAGGCACATGTGACACTGGCAATGGAGGCACATGTGACACTGGCAATGGAGGCACATGTGACACTGGCAATGGAGGCACATGTGACACTGGCAATGGAGGCACATGTGACACTGGCAATGGAGGCACATGTGACACTGGCAATGGAGGCACATGTGACACTGGCAATGGAGGCACATGTGACACTGGCAATGGAGGCACATGTGACACTGGCAATGGAGGCACATGTGACACTGGCAATGGAGGCACATGTGACACTGGCAATGGAGGCACATGTGACACTGGCAATGGAGGCACATGTGACACTGGCAATGGAGGCACATGTGACACTGGCAATGGAGGCACATGTGACACTGGCAATGGAGGCACATGTGACACTGGCAATGGAGGCGTGAGACGAAGCAGATATAGACAGCAAGTTGGTCACTCACGGGGCCAAAGCCGCGGCCCCAGATGGGGCAGCCGGTGGCAGGGTGGAACCAGGGCGGCCAGAGCGTGACCATCTCTATCACCGTGCAGCCCAGGGACCATATGTCCACCGCCCAGTCGTAGCCCCCACACGCGTTGATCACCTGGTGGGCAGGGGAGGGGGAGGAGAGAGGACAGAATGGTGGTTAGGAAGGAAGCGAGTGCATGGGGGGGGGGGGGGGGGGCTCAATCACAGTGCAGTCCAGCGAGCATATGTCCACCGCCCAGTCATCTTGATGCGTTGATCACCTGGGGGGGGAGGAGGAAGGGGGAAAGGGAGGGGAGAAGCGGAGGGGAGAAACGGAGGGGAGAAACGGAGGGGAGAGTGGAATGGGAGAGTGGAAGGGGAGAAACGGAGGGGAGATAAAGGAGGGTTGCTTGCAGGGTGAAAGATGAGGGCAGAGAGAGCAAGTGCGTCCAGAGGGTACAGGGAGGAGGGGAAGGGAGAGAGGAGGGGGAAACCGCATGGGGGAGGAGAGGATCAGATCAACGAGAACCGAACAGAGCATGGGGCACGCAGATGCATCCAGTGAGTATCACCCAGCACAGATATCACCCAGCACAGATATCAGCTACCCCAGGTGGTGCGTACCTCGGGTGCCATCCACCACACAGTGCCCCGACAGCCTGTCATGTCCAGCGATGCTGAGTACTGTGATACGTGGGATAGGAGGAGGGGCGGAGGGGAGGAGGGGTGGAAGGGAGGAGGTGGGGGGAGGGGAGTAGGGGTGGCGGGGAGGAGGGGAGGAGACGTGGGGCGGGGGAGAGGTGGAGTGGGGGAGAGGCGGGCAGAGATTGGATGGAGATTTGATGGAGCGGAAAGCATTGGGAGGGAGGAAAGGGTCAGGTGACAAGTGAATATCATAAGCTTTTTAAAAGTCCTCAACTTCTATCACAATCCCCTCCATTCACCCACACGCCCCCCACCCACTCACATGCCCCCTCTCACTCACTCACTCACTCACTCATTCACACACGCCACACGGCCCCTCTCCACGCACGTGCTTGGCGAGGCCAAAGTCAGCGAGCTTGATGGTGCCGCTCTTATCCACCAGAATGTTGCTGCACTTGATGTCCCTGCATGCATGCCATGCACGGGAGGGGTGAGTAGTGGCATGACAGACATGCACGCATGGGTGGGTGGGTGGGTGGATGGGTGGGTGGGCGGATGCTTGATGGTGCCGCTCTTATCCACCAGAATGTTGCTGCACTTGATGTCCCTGCATGCATGTACATGGTGTTGGTCCGCGATGCCAATCCCCAATTGAGAGTGGTGAGTAGTGGCATGACAGACATGAACGCATGGGTGGATGGGTGGACAACGATTCAATGGGAGGATGGGAGGGTGGGTGAATGGGTGATGGTGCCGCTCTTATCCATCGGGATGCTGCTGCACTTGATGTCCCTGCATGCCGTGTATGCATGGGGGTGGGTGGGTGGATGGTGGCATGAAAGCACAGCATAGGGGTGTGGGTGGATAGGATGATGTGTGTGTTTGTGTGTGTGTGCGCGCGCGCGCGCTCTAGCCCCACAATCCCTCCTTTCCCTCCCCAATCCTCCCCCCTGCCTCTCACCGGTGAACGAACTCCATGGAGTGCAGGAACGCCAGCCCTTGCAGCACCTGGCGCACATACTTGCTGAGCAGCGCATGGGGGCGCACTGGCAGCTTCTTCAGCACGTTCAGAATCGACCCCATCTCCACGTACTCCAGGAATATGTACAGGTACTTGTCGTCCTGGAGGGGTGGGGTGCGGTAAGCTGCGGTGAAGCGCGTTTAGATGCTAGTCAAAGTGTGGTGAAGTGCGGTGGAGTGGGGGAATCAGATGCTTGGAGGCAGTGGCTCCAGGGCCACATGGCACGTTCAGAATCGACCCCATCTCCACGTACTCCATGAATATGTACAGGTACTTGTCGTCCTGCAGGGGTGGGGTGCGGTGGAGTGCGGTGAAGTGCCGTGGGGGAATCAGACACTTGGTGGCAGTGGCTCCCAGGGCCACATACTTGCTGAGCAGCTCTCAGCGTCACTCCCTCCCGGCCTCACACCCTCATACTCTCACAACCATTCGCACTCCCAACTTCCCACCTTCCCACCCTGACAGGCTGACAGGGTGGGAGACAGCAAAGAGCACTCACGATTTCACAGCCGAGGTACTGCACGATGTTGGGGTGGTTGATGCGACTTAGCAGATTTTTGAGGCGCCTAAAAAATTACTCACGATTTGACAGCCGAGGTATTGCACGATGTTGGGGTGGTTGATGCGACTCAGCAGCATGATCTCCTGCACCGTGCAGTGTGGCATGGCATGGCATGGCATGGGATGGGATGGTGTGGCATGGCATGGCATGGCATGTCGTAGCATGGAAGAGGATGGAAATGATTAGCACAGCACAGCACAGCGCAGCACAGCACAGCACAGGAGGAACTATGACCATTCAATGTAAAGCTGTCAAGGTATGCTCACACCTTAATGTGTGCTCACTTTGCATCATTTTGAGCTGCCCGCGCACCTGTTTGAGCTGCCCGCGAACCTGTTTAAGCTGCCCGCGCACCTGTTTGAGCTGTTCGATGGAGTGGTCGCCCCTGAAGTCAGCATCAGAGCGGTCCAACGCCACCTGCTTCACTGCGAACACCTCTCCTGTCATGCTGCTGCTCGGGGGGGACACCCACGTGCAAGGGGGGGCACAGAAGACGCGGAATGGAGGCGTGGGGTGTTGGCGAAAAAGCAGAGGGGTTTGGAATCGATCCAGCGCCACCTGCTTCACTGCGAACACCTCTCCTGTCGTGCTGCTGCTCAGGGGGCACATGGGCCCGGCCATGGGGCAGGGGCATGGGGCAGGGGCATGGGGCAGGGGCATGGGGTGGATGAGAGGCATCGGAAGCACCTGCTTCACTGCGAACACCTCTCCTGTGATGCTGCTGCTCAGGGAAACACCCAGGCACATGGTGAGAGGGCGCAGGGGGGCATAGATCAGGGGCGTGGGGTGGGGTGTGGGCGAGAAGAAGACAGGTCTGGGATGGTTGGGCTTGAAGGCATGGTTCGGTTCGGCACGAGAGGCATGGGATCCCTTCACAACAAAGCCAGCTGCTTTCACACAGTGAAACCCCTTCCATGCCAGGCCAGGCCAGCCACCCACCTCACCTCACGCACTGAAACACCCTGCCGAAGCCCCCAGCACCGATCTGGCTGCCGCGCACCCACTGCCCCTTGGCTGGGCACACCGGCAACGGGCGCGTGGGGGACAGCAGCAGGTCCGCGCCCGCCCCCAGCGGTGACAAGGGGTCCGCGGACGGCAGGGGGAAGCCCAGCGGGGACGCGGACGGGGGAGGCGGGGAGTAGGCGGAAGGGGGAGGTGGGGGAAAGGGGGCAGCGGGAAATGGGGAGAGCACGGGTGTTTGCCCAGGGGCCTGACGGGGGGCGAAGATGCGAGGGTCTGTGAGTGAGCGGGTGAAGGTAGGAGGGGACGTGGAGGAAGCTGCAAGGAAGGAGTGACGGCCTGATCCGCCTGCCTCTGTACCTATCCCAATCCCACCTCCCCCTGCTGTCACCGCCCCTGCCTCCACTGCTCCCACTGCTCCTCCCCCTCCCCTGTAGGTACCTGGGCCTACCCATCCTCCCATCGCACCAGCAGCAGTCCCACCGTACCCGCTCCCAGGGAGCATATACCCTCCGCCAGGGTGCATTCCCAGGGTTGGCTTCCCCTGCAAGCCCCCCTGCTGCTGTGCGCCCTCTCCTGCGCCACCTCCTCCCGCCGCCCCATTTCCCGCAACCGTTCCCCCCCACGCTCCGCCGCCTCCCCCACCCCCTGCACCCCATGCTACGCCTCCCCCACTCCCTCCCCCCCATGCCGCACCTCCACCGCCCGCTACTCCCGCCACAAAAGCGGGAGCTAGAGACTCCGGCCAGTCCCAAGGCGGCACGCCGGTCCAGCTGCTGCTGCTCAAACCTCCGCTGGAGGCTCGGGAGTGAGAACGTCCGATAGAGGCTTGGGAGAGGGGAGGCCCAGTGGAGGTTCGGGAGAGGGGAGGTCCGGTGGAGGTTCGGGAAAGGGGAGGTCCGGTGGAAGTTTGGGAGAGGTTTGGTGTGGATGAGGGGTCCGAACGATTTCCAGAGACGTCAATGCCGGCAGGACTGACGTCAGAAAGGCCGCCTGTTTGACTGGGAGGTGGTGACGTGGACAACGATGACGTGGCTCCGCCATATGCGGCAGCTGGCATGGAGGATGAACGGTGCATGGCGGTCAGCAAGAGCTTACACCAGCTAATGCCTCATAGGCGGTTTCGAAATGTAACATGGTGGTCCTTGCGGTTTAGAGCGGTGCAAAAGATTTCGTAGTGCTACACGGCGGTCAAGACGAGCTGCTATGAAACCCCGCCAGCTCCCACCACGTAAGACCGACGCTACCATGCTGCGCGGCGGTCACTGCGAGCTCGCACAACCCAACCATGCGAATGCTTTCGAATCCTAGCACGCACTCCTACAAAACTCCAACACGACCTTGTACGCGCTATAAACTAGAAGCCTCCGAAGGGCCTGACACCATGCTGCATGGCGGTGAACGCGAGCTTGCATGCATGCGATCCAGTCATGCGAATGCTTTCGAGATTTTCCTAGGAGAGCGCCTACATCGCGGTAACCACGAGCGTCGACGAGTTGGATTTTCGAAGCTAGAAGCGAAGCGTAAGAAGGGTCTAAGATGCTGCATTGCTGTCCGCACGAGCGTCTACTATCTTGACGCGTCCGAGCGGTTACCAGTTCACTTTTACTACCTGAACGTGTGGATTCATCATGCTATGTTTGGGTAATCCCAACAGGCTTGACTGCTACGTCTGGCGTACTGTACATCTCAGCCATTACATTGTTCCAATCACTTTTGACTTTACTCAAGAAGATCGCCTTGAGAAACGTCACTCCAGGAATCCGTCATTTGCGGAAAAAACGGTGAGGCCAGGCAAAGGGAGTGTAGTGGGACGAGCTGGAAGAGGAGGATTGAGTGGCGGGGAGGGGAGCTTCCACTAGAATGTACTGCTGAGACTCCAACGAGGTTAAGGTTATATTAGGTCGTAACCGTGTACAGCAAAGCATAGAGTAGCTAGAAATATGGTCTACACAAACCAACAGCCCAGAGGCGTACGTAAGAAAACACGTTATTCCCCTATCCAAGGATAGCCACCAGCTCAGCTGGGGAGCTCTTCTATGCTCAACAAAGGGTGGGAGGGCTAGGGGGGGCGGAAAGGGTCCCCAAGCAGCCAGGAAGAGCGGAGGTCTGGGTGGATAGAAGGGGTTCCGTTGTGGTCGAAGACGAGAAAGCGAAGTCGAGTGGCCAGCTTAATACGAGCGGCTGAGCGTTGTTGTTTTTTCACTGATTGTTTCTTCCTGCGCCATAAGAAATTTTTGAAAGCAATGAGGAACTTTGCCAGTATGAGCTGGAGGATTTCAAACCGGGAGGGGGGCGAATCTTGGAACTTGTGTTCACAGCGTGCGTTCCAAATAGCTTTTGTAGATGCCCCAACCAGAAGGCTCCAAGGGGCCACCTGGCCAGCTCTGGAGGCGAGCGGGAAGAGCAGGAGCTCAGGAGGAGGAGAGCAGTGGAGGTGACGACGAGCGACGGAGGAGAGGGCGGAAATCACCGCGGGGGCCACCTCGCACTCGTAAAAAATGTGGGATATGGTCTCCGTGGGAGCGGCGAGGCAGAGTGAACAAATCCCACGGTCTGCGGCGAAGTTGAAGCGTGAACCCGAAGGGAGAGCGCGAGTGTAGAACCGATACAAGACGTCGCGTTGGAGGCTGGGTTGCTCCCGTAGAAAGTCATGGGAGAGGTCGGGGAGGAAGGGAGGAGGAGCGGGGAGGACGTGGATCCAGCGGGCGGCGTGGTCGAGGGGAAGTTGAGCATAGAGCCGGCGACGAATGTCAGCTACGCTTGGGCAGCCGTCCCGGAGGATGTCGAGCCGCGCGCCAAGCCCTACACCTGTATGGAAGGGGCCTGCAAGCCAGGACCCGACAACGTGTACCGCACAGAGGGCACCTATGTGGAAGGTGCTATCTCCGATCGACGGTCGGACGATGAGTCGGTTGGGCAGGACACGGTAAAGGGAGACTGAGGGCGACGACGGAGGGGAGAAGGCCGTGACCTGGAAAGCAATAGTGGGAGAGGTTTCGGAGTCTTCTTTAGGGACGAACCACTCCCCAGGGACTGCCGAGGGGGGAGGGGGGGAGCGAAGGGTTGACCACCAGGGTTTGGGGATGGCACGGATGAGTTCGCGCCAGACTCTTCGTCCAGAGGAGGAGTTGGCTATGGGAAACAGTGAGGTGAAGTGTTTGAAGGAGACCACACCAAGCGAGTGAAAGATAAGAGAGATCAAATGGCCGACACGGACCTGCTTAGATAGGAGGAAGTGTTCACGCGTGAGGATTCCGAAGGGCTTCCCGTTTGGTTTGAGAATGAAACGATTGAAGGCGGTGGGCTCGCCCATTATACACATGGGGACGAGGCGAGGTGGGGCAATGTTCGGAGTGATCTCTATTAATGCGTGTAGTTCAGCGAGTGCTCGGCCTGGGATTATTGTTGGCAGAATGCCTGCTTGAAGGATGGCAGGGTGCGCGAAGAGACAGTGTGTGCCAAATGGGAGGCAGACGGCGGCTCTGGCTATCTCTTCTGATGGTGAGGCGTCGAGGCGACGGAGCGCGCGGTGAGCAGCTAGAGCACGGATTTGGGTGGAGGGGGCAATCGCTCCAAGGCCTCCGTGGCGGGTGGAATTATACAGGAGCCGATTAGGGATGAGACGGACCGCTAGGCCGTGCTCCTTGAAACGCGAAGAGGATAGAAAGTTTCCGACCAGGACGTCTAATCGTTTGATAACGTCGGGGGAGGGGGTTTGAAAGCGGCCGGGGAAGGAGATGATAGAGTTTAAGAAGACCAACGCAAGTGACTTGCGGCAGGTGGCTGTGGCACGAAGGGCGGCGAGGAATTTAGCCGTGTGCTGAACGCGAGAGAGAGTCGTGGACCAGGTGGTGGCGCCTGGTTGTGCACGTTCAACGTAGATGCCAAGAATGCATTCTGCCTCTTGAGGAGTGCGAATGGGAATGGGGCCGGCCAGAAGGATTTGTTCCGGGGAGATATGAAAAGGGATTATTGAGCATTTGTTCCAGTTAGGGTGTTCTCCTGAGACTGCGGCGAAGGTCCTGAGGTGTATGAGTGTGGTCCCAAGCTCTCTAACAGAGGAGAGGAAGATGGTGACGTCGTCAGCGTAGCAGGCCATGAGACGGCGCTGGGTCGGAGAGAGGGGGAAACCCGGGAGGAAGAGCGATAGGTAGCGCTGTAGGATTTCAATGACACACACAAAGAGGAGGGGGGCGAGGGGGCATCCTTGTCGGACCCCGGTTCGGACTGGGAAGGTGGGTCCAGCAAGGTTTTTAACAGAGATGGAGGTGGAGGTGTTAGTGTGCATGAGGCGAACCCAGGCGATAAACTGCTCGGGGAGTCCCACCCTGGCTAGCGCTTGGAAGAGGAAAGCTCGATCGACCAGGTCATAGGCCTTGCGGAAGTCGACCGTTAAGGCGAGTAGGGGGGTTTTCGTGATTGTGCTCCAATCGAAAATGTCAAGTGTATCGTTGATCGTATCGCCAATTTTTCTGCTTTTAATGAAAGCGGTTTGGGAGGGGTGTATAATCAGGGGAAGAGCGAGTTGCAGCCGATTGGCAAGGCATAAGGCTAGCACCTTGTAGTCCGAGTTCATGAGGGTGATAGGGCGGAGGTTGTCGATCATAGAGGAGCTACCCCTCTTGGGAATAAGGACTGTGCGGCCTGATAGCATTGACGGCGGGAGGGTAGCGGAGATGTGCGGTGAGGAGAAGAGTGAGAGAAATGCGGGGGCGAAGCGGGTCTTGTATTGTCGGAAGAGCTCGCCCGGGATGCCGTCAGGGCCGGGGGTTTTGCCACGGGAGAGCTGGTTTAAGGCCTTGCTAATTTCCATTAGGGAAAAGGGAGTTTGCAGATGGTTGAGGAGTCTGGGGGGGAGTGAAGAGGGGGGGATATGAGCCCAGAAGGCAGGATTTGGCACGCCCGGGGTTGCTCCGCAGTAGAGAGACTGGAAGAAATTGGTGCATTCAGCGTTCATGACTCGTAGATCTGAGATGGTTTGTCCATCTGGTAGTATAAGCGAGGATATTAATGAGTCTTTGATGCGGGAGTTGAGTCCTGCCAGCAGGGAGGAGGTTCCCATCTCCCTATGGCCTTCGACTTTGAGCTTTGCTTTTAGAGCGAGCTCGGCGGTTTTGGATGCCTCGTATTTTGTTAGTTGAGTGCGGCCTTTGAGGAGCTGTGTGGTCGCATCATGGTCAAGAGGGGAGAGGGCAGATTGGAGCTGAAGGTGGCTGATGAGTTGTACTAGGTGGTTTGTAGTGCTTGTAACCCTTTTGCGCTCTTCGTTCGAGAAACTTTTGAGGCTAAGCGTGAGGGCCAGTTTCCAGGCGTCCCATGCATCGGCGGAAGGGCGTGATGGCAGGGAGGGGAGGTGAGATTCGATTATGGTAGCGACTTGGGGCCGGTGGAGAAGAGAGGAGCTGAAACGCCAAGGTCGCGGTGCCATGGTTGGGTTATCGAATATGAGGGTGCAGAGGGGTGCAAAGGAGTGGTCAGACACGTTAGTTGGGGTCCAGAAGTAGGAGGTTTCAGAGACCCGAGGGATGAATAAACTGGAGAGGTAGATTCGGTCCAGTCTGGAGGCCGGCGGGAGAGCAGTGCTAGCTCTGGCCCGGCGGCCAAAGTAGGAAAAAACGGGGGCGGTAGGGTGGAGTGAGCGGTACACGTCGGACAGTGCGTGCGATAGCAGGAGATTAGACATCATGGTGGCTTCGCTGAGTTCGTGACCAAGTAGCGGACGGTTACGGTCTAAGGGGGAGGTTACCGAGTTGAAGTCACCGACGAGGATTGTGGCAGCAGCTGCGGTGGGTTGCTCCAGTGCGGGAGTTAAGATGGATCTCCACCAGATCCGGCGGTCAGTGGCAGGTCTCGGCGCATAGATAGCGAGGATGCGAAGTTGCTCCCGCAGGAAGTTGATATGTACGGATAGGAGGCGGCCATCGGCGGAGGGGGACGGGGAGGTGAGAGATATTTCTCTGTTGAAAGATAAGATGGAGATGCCGCCGGGTTGCGGACATGGATGACCGTTTGAATTCAGTGCGTAGAGGGTGGGTGCGTGTACCGAAGAGTGTGGCCGGAGTTGGAGTGACAGTTTAGGTAGGTTTTTGGAGAGGCGTGTGTCCACTAAAATGAGAATATCTGTGTGCGATGAGGAGGAGGAGAGCCAACGCTTTAGAGCATTTCGTTTAACCGGCGTGTTGATACCATTGATGTTGAGGCAGCGGACTCGTAGGGGCGTTAACATTCTACCAGGTGGGAGCCCACCGCGCAGGAGTGTGCGCGGATCCACGGGCGTGGGTGTTTATACAGAAGGGTAGGAAGTTGGTGGAGGTTGTGGGTAACAGTCGAGCTGTCAACGAGTGCGAACTGAGGTTGGTGGTGGGTATGCTGGTATGTTGTTGGTGGATTGATCCGGACGGAAACAGAGGCGCACGAGAAGGTAGGCAGATATTGGGCGACAGAACCAGGGTGTAGAGGTGCCGCATACAGGTGAAGCTTGAGCAAGTGTGTGTTAAACTTAAGAGTGAGAAGTGAATGGCTCCAGTTTTGAGTAGTAGCGGAGCTGATAGGTGGCGTGTTATCAATTTTGCGTGAATGCGTCAAGGTGAAGCGTGGGATGAGTCTGCCTTTATGAGAGCAGTAAAAGTTGTATTCCTGGGTAGCGACAAGAAAGAGAGTACACCGGGGGTCGGGGGTGCTAGCGTTTTCACTGGTGGAGCATGTCAACCATGACGACGTATGAGAATAAGTAGCAAGTAACGTGGGGCAGGCGGACGGGGGTCAGCAGGAACAGACGTGGTGGTAGGCGGACGAGGGGGGCTCTTTGGCGAGGCCATCTCGCCTCTTCTGTGTCCGTGCGAGGGTTGATTTCGGTCGGTAGGTGCGTCGACCGATTGAGAACCTCTGGCGGGAGGGGAGGCCACGATTACAGGGGGAGATTTTAAGGCAGGTGTAAGGAGATGTTGCGGCCGCTGACGGCGGTCGGGCGTACAGGTGGGGGCGTGTGTGATAAACAGGCGTGGATGCTCGCTCTGGTGATTCATGGTGAGAGTGAGCTTGATATGGCTGCGCGTTAGGCGAGTGTCAAGCGGGGTTGGGGTATTGGTGTTAGTGATTTGGGGGGTTAGGCGATTGCTTAGGTCGTTCATTGTTGGGGCTTGGTTTGGACTGTTCACGGTGAGGCAACAATTGTGAGGGTGTGCGATCATGATGGTTGGTGTGAAGCACACGCGTGCGGGGGGACGCAACTCCACCGGGCTGGCAGGGGCCTGAGGTGGCTGGCATGGCCTGTGCGCGAGGGGTGAAGGTTGGTAGAAGCGTGAGGTGGGTGAGGCAGGTGTGGGGTTGAGTAGTTGTTGGGGTGAGGGTTTAAAAATGGCGTATTTGGTATTTTGCGTGGATGTGAGAGTTGGAGTGAAGACTGACAGGGAAAAAGATAATACGTAGAGATTGACAAACATGATTGTGCGCACATGAGTTGCATATCCGAGGTCTAACTGGGTGCCTGCTAAATGACCAAGCCAAGGAACTAGCCACGCATCGAAGCTAAGGTGCGCAGGTCGTGACGCTAAGGGCGACCGCGAAGGAAGGCAGCCACCGGGGGCTTCTGCTGCAGCAGGGTGAGTGCGCGCCAGGGGCCAAATTCTTCCTTGGCAGCCGGGCGGTGAGCGGAGGCCTTCACGCGGGTGACGTGCAGGTCGGAGTGGATATGCTCCATGGCGCTGTCGAGGGCAGCGCCGCAGGTGAAGTCGCAGAGAGTGCAGGTCCAGTATTCGATCCAATCGCCCAGCCCAATGTAGAGGAGGCCGGGGTCGTTGCTGAAGGCGGTCGGCGCGGCATGATTGCCCAAAGAGTTGCCTGCAAGAGAGGAGGCGGTTGGGGTGAGGCAGGGGGGGCAGGGGGGACGAGGGGGTGGATGAGGGGCGGGTAGGGGGAGTCAGGGAGGAGGGGGACGTGGGGGTGAAGGCCGAGGGGGGGGAGACTATGTGGCCTGGTTGGCTGCGGGTGGAGGGAGGTGCAGGGAGGGGGGGGAGGCGCAGGGGAGGGGCGGGGGTGTTCGGGGGTCCAGGCGGGGGGGGGAGAAGGAACCAGAGGGGGGTGGATTGGCCTGCGCGAAAGCAATGTGGGAGAGACCGGGGGGAGAGGGCTGTTGGCAGAGGGGGAGAGCCTCGGTGGGAGTCGGGCAGCCCGGTCATAGCACAGGGGGCGGTTGCAGATGGGTCCCTGAATGTGTAGGGGGTGAAGAAAGTGAGGAGGGGGGTGAAAGGAGTGAGGGAGGGGGGGGGAGGCGAGATTGAGGGTAGGGGGGGGAGAGGAGGGGAATCGGGGGAGAGGAGGTGTGGGGGGAAGTCGGGGGGTGGGGGGAGCAAAGAGGAGTGCTGGTTGAAAAAGGGGGGGATAGGGCAGGGGGGGGGGAGCGTCTCCATGCTAGCATAGGGTTGGGCAGGGGGCCCGCCCTCTGGAGGGACCATGGGAGGAGTGTCGGGAGGGGGCAGAAAGGGGGGAACCGTGAGAGGGTCCAGTCTGCTAGTGGGAGGAGGGTGCGGGTGGGGGGCGAGCTTGTGGGAGGGCGGGGTACTGTCCTCAGAGGGGGAAGGGGCAGGAGTGTTGTGTGGGGGGGCGTTGACGTGGGAAGGGGCAGGGGGTGGGGGAACATGGGTGAAAAAGGGATTTCGCGATACGGAGATTGCGTGGGGGGAGTGGGGATATGGGGGGTTCGTGAGGATGGGCGGAGTCCCGACTGTAGGGGGGGGAGAGGAGGGTACAGAGGTGACAGGGACTGAGCGTCCATGGGGGGGGGCTTGCCTGCATGTGTTGGGAAGAGCAGGGAGGGGGGGGTGGCGTGGGGGGGAAGAGGGGTTGAGTGGGAGCCCCACAACATGGAAGGCCGGGGGGTGGGGAGCTGTAAGGGAGGGGTGGGTGATGGAGGGGAAGTCAGGGTAAGGGGGGGCAGCTGGCACAGGGAGAGGGGTGAGAAGGGAGGGAACGAGGGGAGTGGGTAGGGGCAGAATGAAAGTAGGGGTGGCAGGGGCCCAGACGACCTTGCGGGGGGGGGACAGCAAGGCAGTGGGGGGCGGGGGCTCTTAGGGAGGGGAGGACAGCGGGGGGAGAGCGCGGGTGTTGGATGGGAGCAAGAAAGTTGCGTGATGGGGAGGTGGAAGACCGAGGGGGGAGTGGTGAGTGGATGGGGGGTAGCGGAGGAGCACATGAGAGGGCAACGGAGGCAGGCTAAGGGCGTGCAGTGACAACAAGAAGAGAGGATTTTTGCGGCTAAGACAAGAGGAGTAGATTTCGTACCATTTGCCTGCTGCAGCTGAGCAATTGAGATTGTGTTCTTGTTCGTGAGGCGTCCTCGGCGGCGGGCAGCGAAAGTCTCGTGGTCCGGTGCGCGGTGGTTGTTGCCGCACAGCGTGCACACGTGGCAGGAGAAGTTGAGCAGCATAGCTGGTTTGTTCTCCTCCAGCAGGATTTCGGACGGGATACGCTCGAAATTCGGGTCATCGGGGGTGGCGACCGGGAGCCCTGCGAGGTGGGTGAAAAAGGTGTTCTCGTAGGGATCGGAAGCGCGGTGAAATTCAATCAGGTCCGCGAGCCAATGCGAACCGTCCTCCTCGGTGGATCCGAGGAGGAAGGCACGAAGCTCCTCCGGATCGATCTCCAGGGGGACGTTTCGGATGGAAAGGGTAGGGGCGCCCGCTGCCTTTGCCGCGGTAAAAACTTCAGAACGATCAACAAAAACCTTCAACATGACGGGGCGGGAGTTGGAGATTTTCAGCATGAGGGGAAAAATCTTGCGAAAAACCGCAGCATCTTCCTGCGACGGCCAAGAGAAAAGCAGGCGGCCGTACACGTGGCGAGCCACGCGGAGGGATTCGCCAACGGTGTGCTCGAAGGGGGGGATGATGCCCGAATCAAACATGAAGCCGCATAGCTGCGCGTTGATCCCGGCGAGGATTTCCGTGCGATGCGACTCCAAAATAGCCTCCGGGAGGAGGATCGTGACTACCACGCGGCGGCGGAGGGGAAGGAGCATCGGGGTGGCTGCGGAAGTGCGCGCGCGGCGGAGGTTGCGGGGGGGTCCACCGGGCACGGATGAGGCAAAGAGCGAGGCGGGCAGCGCGGGGGCCGGGTTAGCGCCGGAGGCGACCGTTGCGTAGGCAGCAGCGCGAAGAACCGGGCCGTTGGGGGCGGCAGCTGTTGCTGCCAGAGAGGGCGCAGGGCCTTGCTGAGTCGCCGTGGGAGCAGCAGCAGCAGCGAGGAGCACGGGAGACGGCGCGGGCTGCGCCAGCGCCGAATCGGAGGAGGTAGAGGGGGAGTTGAAGCTAGCAGGGCCAGCTCCGGGGTCCATGCAGGGCTTCTTCGCAGCAGGGTGGTCAGGGGAGCTCGCGAGGTCATCGATAAGTCCTTCGGGAAGGTCGTCGACCAAGAGATCGTCGCCGGTTTCAGCGATAGTTTCCTCTTCAGCGGCGGACATCGTCAGATCGGGGTTGAAAACCTGCTCAGCCATAAAGAAGAGTGTGTAAAGGAGTCGTAGGGGACTGGGAGAAGAGAGTTGAGTGATTGACGAAGGCTGAGGTGGGTTAAATAGGGAGGGAGCGAGGGAGCGCCCGCGGGGGAGCGTCAGGACGGAGGGGAGGCAGAGACGCGGCGGAGGCGGACGGGCGTGACGCCGTGGAGGCGAGGCTCTGTTGGCGGCTCGTTGGGAAGGGTTGGAGGGAGGGCGGACGGGAAGGGGAATGCCTGGAAGTGCATGGGCAGCGCGTAGGCAGAGGGAAGCGTGGCGACGTGGCGAGTAAATTGAGGGCCAGAGGCGGGAGTGGGCGCCTAGTTGGCAGCCCGAAACCCGGGACCGTTCGAGGGTCCAAGCGCTCGCGCGCGAGAAACGAAACTGGCAGCCTAGGCGGCGCGCCAAGTTTCTTAGCCATGTAGAGGGCTCTGCCGGAGGCGGCGTTTGAGTGGAAAGCGGGAAAAATGCAGCATTAATGCCAGGGGGGACGGGAGGTCCGGTAGTGGTGGCGCTTGGGAAGGCACGGAAGTACAGAGGCAAGAGGAGATAGCACGTAGGCGAAAAAGGCGGGACGAAGGCAGGGAAAAAAACGACCAGAAAAACGGGAGGGGAGGGGAGGTTAGCTGTATTTGGCGATTGCAGTTTGTCGAGGAAGTCCTTGGTGTTCGATGCAGAACGGGACAGCTTGGCAGGAGGAGGCCGATCTGTTGGTGAGGGTTTGGAAACAACGCAGCCGAGTTTCCTGGGAGGGGACGGGGATGAGGCGAGGGAGTGGAGTGAGATTGGGTGAGTGCGCACAGAAAAAGGGAGGGAAGTTGGGGTTAGCTGGCGCTGAGGATGGAGCAGAAATTTGCAGTGAGCGCGAAATGCCACGGGGGAGAAGGAGAAGGGGAGGGTTGCACTTACCTGGAGCGAAGGTTGACGTGGCGCGTTGAGGCTGGGAGGGAGTCCGCCAGTGATACGTTGGGGGAGGGAGTGGCCAATTGGAGTCAATAAATAGAAGGGGGCGGGGAGTGGGGGGCTATCCTGCTGGTGTAGAGCCGGGGTGTGGAGTAGCCACGTAAAAACGGGAGCTGTAGAAAAGAAAAAGAAAAAGAAAAACGATAGCATAAACTTACCTGGAAACGAAGCTGAGTCGTATAGGGGGAACCTGCCTAGGCGGCTTAGGGTTTGACTAGCTTCGTAGCCTAACAGGCGGGTAGTTTGGGCCGAGGAGGCCATCGTGCTATCGGGTCCTTAAGGTGGAGTTGTGTGCTGAGACTCCAACGAGGATAGCCTGAGAGGAGGAGGAGTGAAGTGTAAGGACACGGTGAAAGTGCTCGATCGGGGGAGATCGATACAGTCACCGCACTAAAACCTCGCAGTTTGCATACAAAAAACACACAACCGTTTACAACCGCGCTAAAAAACGATCCTGAGGCGATCGATTCTCTACTTGTACCGCGTCCTCCTGTCGACTACCTCATAATGGAGTGTTTCATCCAGGTCTTGTTTCATACTTTGATAATTGAAGTTTTCTTTCATTCCAAACATTGCAGCGCATAAATCTGCCGATACAATGACCAATATCCAAATGTATTACTATAACGTGCTAGCACATACTGTTACCCATAAAATAGGTTGTTAGTTGAGTGATTTTCCCTCGCTGGACCCCCCCCCCCCCCCCCCCCACCTTTCTTTCTTTCTTTCTGCTCATTTTGCCAAATTGGTCTTTGTCTGATGCTTTTCTATGCTTGGTTTCTCCCTGCGTTTATTGCCACTGGTTGGGGCCCAGCTCTTAAGCCACATAGCCTCCTTCTTAACTCAAGGTAAACCGATCACGTTCACATTCACCTTCCCCAAAGCCTTACAGCCCCCTCAGTTTCACCCGAACTGCAAGTCCAGCCCTTAAGATTCATTGGGACTGCGTCTTCTGGCTATGCCCCCATTAGTGGCCCCTCCTCTCTCACCCTGCCTGTTCGACTCGCACTTGTCAACAATGCTGGGTGCCATCGGTTGGACATCCACTTTTAAACATGGAAAGAAGCAGTTCCCTGGTCTCACCCGATTGTGGTACAAGTCTGTGGTACAAGGTAATGATGAATCAGGTGGTTGCAAGTCTGTAGGAACCAGGTTTCATCCGTTGCAGCCATGGAAAAGATGGGAAGGGCTTTGTTTCGGAGTTTGTTTTTATATCTTGGGCACATTTAACCCACTACAATAATGGATTGTATCTTAATTATATTGTGTGTACTCTAACCATGAACCTAAGTTAGGTTGGGTTTCTGGAGAAAGAAGAGATATATGTAAGAAACCACTTGGCCACTTGGAAACCACTTGAGATAGCTTGATCTTACAGTATAGTAGTGTAGTCCCCCTGGGTTTGCTTATTGGAGTTTTGTGGTCGTCCTCGTTATTGTTCTCAAACTTGTGTCAGAAACAAAGTTATTTGGCCGAATCAGCGATGCGTAACTCGAGCATTTCCAGCGATCTTTCCCAACCCCGCCCAATCAGCCGAATTCCTTCGCCACCCGCAGACGAGTGCCAGAGAAAGCAAGCTAATCTCAACAGCAGCTTCGTTGCATTGCTCTCATTGGTTGAAACCGGATCTTCAAATTCAAACCATTGGGCTTGCCGCATTCCACACTGACGCCCTGACCATGCGGCTTCAGACGAGATAGCATTCAAAGGTCCCTAGGTCATGGTATAAAACGTTCATCTGGGAGATTCACCCCACTCCCGCGTTCTCAACGGAAAGCTCGCTGAAAAACGTCGGTGATTTTCGGCTCCCGCAGCCGCTTAGGTGACGAGGCGACACGGGAACAGAACACTATCGGAGATTTTCCTTTTCCCTTCCCTGACCAGGCAGATTCACGTGCCACGTGAACGATTCTCAACCAGGCTCGAGGTGGACTTTTGAATTTCTCTGCCATGGACGAAACTTGAACCTGACCGGACAAACCATTCGCAGCCGCGTCATTAGTGGTCATGACCCAACCCCAACCAGGATCAAGGGGTTTTCTTCGCCGCTGGGAGAATGGTTGGCATTGAACGGCATGCAAAAGTCAAACCTACGGCTGCGATCTGAACTAGTAGAAGCATTCTGAACATCTGAGTGATTCTGGACGGTAGATCTCGTGTGGTGAGAACCCAAGAGCGGGATGAGGGAAGGAGAGGCGAGGCATTCTGCGACCCCTCCGTCCCATTCCAACGTCACCGTCGTCGCCTCGCCTCATTCTTGCCAGAGCCTCGCTTTTGCTCCCATTTTCTCACGCTCGCCTCATTCTTGCCAGAGCCTCGCTTGTGCTCCCATTTTCTCACGCTCTGCTCACCTGCTCGGTTCCTATAGCTCAAACCTTAGAGCTTGCGCTCAGCTTGTGAACCTATTCTGCCAACAGGCTTCGCAGGATTGAAACCTTCTCGTTTCCTAGAGCTCAGCTTCTAGAGTCAACTTTATGCTCAGATATTTAAATTATTCTGCCAACAGGCTCTTTTTGTTGCCGAAACTACTCAACTTGAAGCCTTTCGGTCTGCGACCGGGTCTATTGTAGGAGCTTCGTTCAGATTGCGGGATAAACGGAGCCGGAAGTTGTGGGAAAAAGGGAGTCGGAAAGACGCGGGAAAAGGGAGCGAGAAGTCACGGGATAAGCGGAGCCGGAAGCTGCGGGGAAGAAGGAGTGGGAAGTCGCTGCGATGACATGAAATTCTGCAGGTAACAATGATCGAATCCCATTATTTTCATTTCGAATTCGTCTATTTCGAATCAGTTATTGTTTTTTTGAATCCTTCGTTATCCAGTTATTCGTGTTTTTTCACTTTCGTGTAATTCGTTTCTGCGAAAATATACTTCGATTATTGGCTGGCGACAATTTCTGACACGCGACGTGTGCATGCTCGGATGTGCCAGGTCTATTTTCAAGGCGCCGACGTCTCGCCCCAATCTGATTGTCCGCGATTTCGGAGAGCCACGCGTACGAACCTCGAAGCTCGGACCGACGCTCGTCCTTCGCCTTGCCGCTTCACCCTCAGGTATAGTAAAAGTCGCGACTCAGTTTCTCTTCGTTTCACGTTTCGATTTGGCGATATCAGTTTCAATTTTATAGCACGAATCGTTTCGCGAGCGACTTGTATGAAGTATCGAGGCTTTTATATTTGCGAATCGTCTTCTCAAACTCATCATCGCGTTTCAATTTTGCGCTTCAATCTCGCGACTCATCGTGGCGGCTCAATCCCACTATTTTTTCTTACAGACCGATTTCGCGAACTGTTCCGCTGGCACCCGCGACAGTGCTAGCAAGGGCAGGTCGAGTGGAGCCCACCCTCGAAGGTGTCTGCCTCAGCTAAGTACCTTCGCCTCCCTAAATCTCAAGCTGCAACGCTGCTACCCAGGAGGTAGTCACGTTTAGTTCCTTGCTCACTTGTGCCTCCGTAGTTTCTCCTTCAAATCCCGCCACTGGTTGGGGCCCGCTTCACAAGCCAAAGACCTTGTACTGCAGGTAGCCCCCTCAGGTTTACCCCCTTCTCAGGTTCAAACCCCCACAGCAGGTTCCCCTTAAGGTCTGTGGCTTGTGCATGTTGTTCCCTCCCCTCCCTCTCCTTGCTCCGTTTCTTCTCTCACCTGTCGCTCGCCCTTGCTCTCCTCCCTGCGACCTCACTCAACTGTGCTGCTTGTGTGAAGTGAACTGCTCGCGGAGGAGAGAGGCAAGCGGGGTCAACACCGCCGCTCCTGCACGCACCTTGCTCCTACTCATGTTGCTCTCTGTACGCTTCTTGTTGCTCTCTCCTCGTTCCCTCCGCCCTTCTCTCCTGTGCAGGTCACTTGGCCTCAAGCAGCAAAGGCAGGCGGACGTGGGGCAGCAAGTCAGCACCTGAGGCAGCATCAGCGTAGCACTCATGCCTCAAGCATCCAGTGGCAGCAGAAAGCAGCCACATCATCAGCTAAGTGCTCGCTCCTCAATCACCCACTCCTGCATCCCACATCACGCCCT